TAACCCTAACCCTAATTTCAAACCTAACCCATATCACCTTAGGGTGAATAACTCCACGCTGCTTGCTCGAAACGTGCTGAAATTCGGTGTGGGTGTGTAGCAGGCTCCCCTTTATTAATCATGAAATGCCCAAGTCTCTATGACTTTCAGAAATAAAGTAATTTAAAATATCTTGTACTTATGAGACGCGGGCCAATTACAGGATGATATTTTGTACTTGACATCAAAGTTTAGTGTCTGCGCGTTTTTCTCAAACACACCTTTTTGTCGAGTCGTTGCACGGGCCGAGCTTGACCTGACAGCTTCTGGTGGCGTTTGTTGTCATGTTAGCCAAAGCGAATTAGAAGCGTTAGTCACTTGATTGAAACGCTCCAGGGGATACAGTAGAAGTATTCAGTAAGCATTGCGTATACCCACTTCTAAACCCCCCCTGATGCCCACCATTCAGTAGTATCTGCCAGCCAAATTACCAATTTTTTTCCTAGGATGGTGAAACCATTACCCACACTACTCTGCCTCTAATGTATATGCCCAGCTGCACCCAGACTCTACCTCCAGCGGCCCCCAGGTAAATTGAGTTTGCGACCCCTGATGTAAAGCATATTGAGGATGGGCTTTGTTCTTCAAGTTTATAAATTTGCTTTAACATAAAAAAAATATCTAGGGCAGTACGTGTAGACACTTTGTAATGGTGTAATTAAGAAACTGAAAACTATGTCCTCCTGACTGCCATGTAGAGAAAAAAGAAGAGATTACACAGAGATTAAATGATCTTATTATGAGTGAGACGATACTCACCCTCCAATGAAATCTTTGATTCCCTAAAAAAGAGCAGATCACAACAGGCCAGGGTTTAACAAAAACTTCAGTCTCTGCAGAAATATGCAGATAAGATCTCTGGAACTATTACATTACTCGGTTTCATGCAACTGACTTGATGTTTTTTCAGTTTATCTAAAGAAAGATTGATGCATGTCTATTCATCATTCTTCTCCTCCTCCACTTACCTTGAGCTGCTCTGGGTTCTCCTCCTCCCTCAGCTTGATGCAAAGCTGATCGGCCGTACTCTCCAGCTCGCTGATTTGCTCTGTCGCTTGAGTGAGCGCCTCCTCCAGCTGGTTTAGCTTCTCCTGTTTCTGTTTTTGCAGTTTCTCCTTTATGCGCTCTTCCTCCTCCAGGAGGAACTCCCTGAGGCGACCAAACTCCGCAGAGACCAGGTCCTCCAGATCTGACTCTCGCTCCTGAAACACAGGGAGGACTGCGGTCAACAAAAACTAAATGCTCTATTTTGTTTGTCTTAAAAATGTAACTTCTTATTTCTGTGAACTGTTCTTTGAATGACAATCTGTGTAAATGATCAGTCAACCATCCAAGAATAACAAAGTACATGTACTTGTTTACATTTAATAATTTTCATCATCTGTACTTAATTTATTTTATTGTTTATTTATTTACACGTTATTTTTTTGGGCACTTTTCACTTTTACTCCACTTATCAGTAAATATCTGTACCTTCTACTCCACTACATTATTTACAATGCAGTGTGTTAGCAGCATTCTTTATTAATATGACAGA